CTCAGGAAGGAAAGCTTCTTTGGGGCCGTTGCAGTTGCTTGGTGGCAACGACAAAGGAGCCCATGGCTCCAGCCCCTCTTCTCTGCCTCACCCCCTTCCAGTGGCCGCTTTTCTTTTTCTCTTTCCTTCTGATCTTTCTCTCCTCTTTCTGTCTCTCTGACTTGGTGTCTCTGTTTTTCTACTTCAGTTTCCCTCTCCCTCGTGCTCCAGCCCTGACTGGCGGCAGCTTTGGAGGTTGCCCAAGCTTTGCCTCACTCTGGAAACCTGCCAGCTCCACAGGCACAGCCCCAGGCCCCCACAAGCTCAGCATCTCTGGTGCCACGGTGCAGATACTACTGTGGATGCCGCTCCCAGCCTCCCCATCTGGCCCTAGATAAGATAAGGGTGGGGATCAGCCTTATAAACAGGCCCCGGCTGGCTTGGACCATATCAGCCCAGGATCAGCATGGCCATCTGCCTGTGGGTGGTCGCCCTGGCCGCCCTCCTCATTGTGGACAGGGGTGAGTGGACAGAGCCTGGATTCTCTGAGGCTTGGTGTTGGTAGATGGGCCTGTGGTGGGGGCAGAGACAGGGCCTGGAGCATCCTGTGAGGCCTCGGTGTTCTGCCTAACCCTTCTTTCTGTACCTCTCCACTGTGGTGGGAAAAGCCCTGGGCTAGGAGAAAAGAAACCTGGGTTCAAATCCCGACTCTAGCCCCAAATTGCAAAAGCCCCTCCTCTCTTGGGGCCTCTGTTTCTCCAGCTGTAGCATAGGAAGTCCTAGTTCAAAGCTGCTCTAAGCGACTCCTCGGCGAGAGATGTGGGGAGCAGCAGGGAGCAGGCCTATCTTGGGAGAGACAGATAAGTCTGCTGGCTGCCAGGTGGTGGGTGCTGAAGGAAGCCTGGCCTGGGTCCTCTGAGCTCCTGTCTGCTGTGACAGGCGATGCTTGTGGGACTGACAGCAGCTGTGTGAGCCAAGGGTAGCCCTTGTCCCGGGCCAGACACATGCTGGAGTGGGGCCTTCTCAAGGCCTGGAGCACCTCTGTGGCCTCACACTGACCATGTATCAGACATTGTTCTGGGCCCTTAAGATGTATCAGTGAGCAAATAGAAAGAGAACTACCCTGATGGAGCTTAAATCCAGTGGGGTAGGTTGGAAGGGAATGGACAACAAGATAGGTGCAATGTTAGAAGGTGATAAAGGCTAAAGAAAAAAATATTGGGCAGGGTGAAGAGAGGACTGCCACGTTAAATCAGGGGGTTCTCGGGCGCCTGGGTGGCTCAGTTGGTTAAGCGACTGCCTTCGGCTCAGGTCATGATCCTGGAGTCCCAGGATCGAGTCCCACATCGGGCTCCCTGCTCGGCGGGGAGTCTGCTTCTCCCTCTGACCCTCCTCCCTCTCATGCTCTCTGTCTCTGATTCTGTCTCAAATAAATAAAATCTTTAAAAAAAAAAAAAATCAGGGGGTTCTCTCCTAGAGCAAGGCTTGAAGGGGGCAAGTGAGTGAGCCGTGTGGATATCTGGGAGAAGAGGGTTCCAGACAGAGGGGACTGGCAAAGGCCCTGAGGTAGGAGCATGGCTGGAGCGTTGGAGGTATGGTGAGGAGGCCAGTGTGGCTGGAGGGGAATGAGAGGCAGGGTGCAGAGCAATGGCAGAGGCAACTGGGAACTATACTGGGTAAGGCCTTGAAGGCCAATGTGAGAACTTGGCTTTCCCTCTGAGTGAAATGGGAGACACTAAAAAATTTTGAGCAGGGGTGCCTGGGTGGCTCAGCTGGTTAAGCGTCTGCCTTTGGCTCAGATCGTGATCCCAGGGTCCTGGGATCGAGCCCTGCATCAGGTTCCCTGCTCGGCAAGGAGTCTGCTTCTCCCCCTGACCCTCCCCCATCTCATGTGCTCTCTCTCATTCTCTCTCTCTCAAATAAATAAATAAAATCTTAAAAAAAAAAAAGATTTTAGATTTAAAGATTTTTATTTATTTATTTGACAGAGACACAGCGAGAGAGGGAACACAAGCAGGGGGAGTGGGAGAGGGAGAAGCAGGCTTCCCGCCAAGCAGGGAGCCTGATGCGGGGCTTGATCCCAGGACCCTGGGATCATGACCTGAGCTGAAGGCAGACGCTTAACGACTGAGCCACCCAGGTGCCCCTCATTATGTGGTTCTAATATTAAGGTAAACATCATCTAAGTCTTGGCTTAAAAAAAAAAAGAGGGGGTGCCTGGGTGGCTCAGTCGTTAAGCGTCTGCCTTCGGCTCAGGTCATGATCCCAGGGTCCTGGGATCGAGCCCCGCATCGGGCTCCCTGCTCAGCGGGGAGCCTGCTTCTCCCTCTTCCACTCCCCCTGCTTGTGTTCCCTCTCTCGCTGTGTCTCTCTCTGTCAAATAAATAAAAAATAAAATCTTTAAAAAAAAAAAAAGGAATTTTGAGCAGAGTTGTGTGTTAAAAGGATCACTCTAGTTGCTGTGTTGAGAACAGACTAAAGGGAGAAGCAGGGAGACTACTTAGGACCCTTCTAGAAGGCCACTGACCTCATGGCCAGTCCCACTCCCATTTCCCTAGCTGAGGACATAGTCCTGGGGGCTGGGGCAACAGAGAATGGGTCTGGGGGCTCTGGCCCAGCTAACCTGCTTACTCCCAGCTTGGCATCCATTCCCATTCCCTGAGCAGTTGTCCCATTGGGAACACTGAGGAGGCCTGTCCGGAAGACAGTCCTTGTGCCCATTTCAGATTCCTGCCGGGGCTGAGTGAGGACAGGGTTCAAGGGCAGGCTGAGAGTAAATGCAACCTTTTCCCACATCCTCCAGGAAGAAGCTCTGATACCACAGGGTTCTGCACTCCGCCTCCCCACAATGCACTTTAGTCGTCAATTCCTGAACACCCACTATGTTAGGGGCATTGCCACATGGGAGCAGAAGCATAGGAGCCCCAAGGAACTCAGGTCCATGAGAGGCAGGAGTGACCCAATGAGTGGGACAGCCTGTGGTGGTATGAAAGAAGCTGCTATGTTTGTGGCCCCAAAATTCATATGCTGAAACCCTAATCCCCAAGGTCATGGTATTGGGAGGTGGGAGCTTTGGGAGGTGACTAGGTCATAAGGGTACAGCCCTCATGAACAGGATGAGTGCCCTTATAAAAGAGACCCCACAAAGCTCCCTTGCCCCTCCTACCATGTGAGGACACAGTAAGGAGGCACCAGCTCTGAAGCAGGAAGAGGGCGCTCACCAGACACCAAATCTGCCAGCACCATGACCTTAGACTTCCCAGCCTCCGGAACTGTGAGAAATCAATGTTTGTTGTTTACAAGACACCCAGTTTATGGGTTTTTGTTCTAGCAGCCCAAATGGACAAAAACTGGGGCCTAAATCCAGGTCTGCTCGGGAAACCCTGGGGGACATCAGGGAAGGCTTCACTGGGAAGTAGCATCTGAGCCTTGAAATGAAGATAGAATCAGTAGAAGGGGGATGAGGACGTTTCAACTAGACGGAAACAGGATAAGCCAAAGCAGAGCCTGTCCTGAAGAATGAGCAGACAGGAATAACAGAGGCATAGGGACATGGGGAGTATCCTAGGAAGTGAGTCCAGGAGGAAGTTTTCAGTCAGCTCATGCAGGGCCCTAAACATAAGATAAAGGAGCTTAGCAACTACAAGGAGCCGTGGAAGGCCTTTATATTTTTTTAATGCTTTTTTGTCCCCTAACAGCTATGTACCATGAAATAAATAAATCTATCGCTCAATGAATTTTGACAATGCATGTACCTGTGTAACCCAAACCTCTATCAAGATACGAAACGGGGATGCCTGGGTGACTCAGTCGGTTAAGCATCTGCCTTCGGCTCTGGGATCAAGCCCCATATCGGGCTCCCTGCTCAGTGGGGAGCCTGCTTCTCCCTCTCCCTCTGCCCCTCCTCGTGCTCTCTCTCTCTCTCTGACAAATAAATAAATAAAATCTTAAAAAAAAAAAATACAAAACCTTTCTGGGGCACCTTGCTGGCTGTCGGTAGAACATGCAACTTTGATCTCAGGATTGTGAGTTCGAGCCCCATGTTGGGTGTGGAGCCTATTTTTTTTTTTAAAGATTTTATTTATTTATTTGAGAGAGAGAGAGAGAGAGCATGAGAGGGGGAGGGTCAGAGGGAGAAGCAGACTCCCTACCGAGCAGAGAGCCCGATGCGGGACTCGATCCCGGGACTCCAGGACCATGACCAGAGCCGAAGGCAGTCGCTTAATCAACTGAGCCACCCAGGCGCCCCGGGTGTGGAGCCTATTTAAAATAAAAATTAAAAACCAAACCAAAACAAAAACATTTCCAACACCCCAGAAACTTCCCTCATGCTGGTCAATCCCCTCCCTTACCCCACTCTCGAGGCAACCACTGCTTTTTTTTCCCCACCATAATTAGTTTGGCCTGTTCTAGAATGTCACATAGAAAGCTGTATTTATCCCAGGCTGCCCTTGACCTTGGCCCAAGATGCCCCTTCCATGTAGTATGTTCCTGGGTAGGGGATGCGACCAGGTGAGGCACTCTGTTCTCTGAGAGTAATTTCTAGGAAGGGACTCACTATGAGTGGCCAATACTCCCGGCAGCTGAGGAAATGAGCACCCCAGTCCTGCCTGCGGGTGGGATGTGGGGAGCAGACCATGGCATCCACCACTGTCTCCTTCTCTCCCTGTTACACAACAGTGATAGAGCTGTGAAGAGGAGTTAAGATCATGTGTTCTCAATGCCTGGTACATACTAACTGAATTATCTTATTATGTGGGATATAACAATCCCAGTGGGATCTGACTAATAAGATCAGGCTGGACTGTCACCTCCCAACTCTAGATTTTGTGTCTCTGTTCTAACAACCCAAAGTCACATCAGCTTTCTGGGACTCCCCACAGTCTGGTGATTCAATACCTCAATGCCTCTCAGAATTCCAGACTGGGCAGGAGCTGGAACAGGTCTCCTGAAACAGTCCTCAGATGCCAGACCTGCGCCTAGAGCCGCCATCACCTAACTCTTGCATTTTTGCCTTTCAGAAGTGCCAGTGTCGGCGGCAAAACTCATCTCCCCAAGGATGGTAAGGCAGCCGCTTCCAGTTTGGGCCCCAGGGGGCTGTCGTGGCCTTCCTTCTGCATCCATGCTAGGAAGCCAGCATTTTTCTTCTGTAAACTCCCGCTCAAATAACTGATGGCTCCAATGTGGCTAGGGTGGCCTCGTGAGCCTGCATGCTCCCCAGGTTAGCCCTTCCAGGCTGAGTTGGCCCAGCCCCTTTGCCAAGGTCTCGAACTTGGCTTCCAGGACCTCAAGAGATCTGCCCCAACCTGGTCTCCAGTGAAATCCCCTGCCCAGGCTCAGCAGGACTGAGCATGCTCTCTGCTTTGTGTAGTAAAGATGGACAGGCCACGGGGTTCAGGCCAGAGGTACCCTGGCCCCCCTGGTGTGTGCCAGCCTCCCCCAACCACACCCCATCGTTCATCCATCCCTTCACTCTGGAGGACAGACACCAAGTTGGCCCTGAACCCTGGCTCCACCTTGGCCCTGGGTCTGATGTCCCCAGGGATCCCAAAGCAGTGGTGCTGGCCTTCCTGAGACCCTCAACCCAGCCTTCACCAAGGTGCGCAAGGAGGCTCAAAGCCACCTTCCCATCCAGCAGCCTAGCATCTTCACTGTCAGCCCATCAGACCCAGGCCTATTATTGTGCCAAAGAGCCAAGTACTTCTACATACATGATTTCAATTAACCCTGCGTGAGAAGAATACTATTATTCATTTGCAGTGTTTGCAGAGGAGGAAACTGAGGCCCCAAGAGTGGAGACAGCTCTCACAACTTCACACAGCTCATCAGTGCAGAAGTCAGGCTCTCGGTCTTGTGACCACCGCCCCAGGCTGCCTCTTTCACCCCATCCTGTCCCACGCTCCGATCCCAGTCCTGACCCAGCTTCCACCCTGACCTCAGGCCTGCCCTGAAACTCTTTCAGACTAGCCTCATTTAAGACCCAAGCCTTGTTCCATTTCTCCAGCCTTCCCGTACCAGGGGCCTGATGGGTCATGTCAGCCAGGGTGAGTGGAGGAGCCCTCAGTGAGGAGGGGCCCCCTGGGAATGCTGGTGGTTCTGTCTCCAGGGGTCCTCATGAGGACCAGCAGCAGCGGTTCTAGTTAGACCCTCTGAGAAGTGTGTGAACCCGTCCTAGGAGCTTGAGGGCATAAACTCACCCGACACACAGACATATACCTGGATGCCCGCACACTTGGGTTCAGCAGACAGATACACACCTGTGTACACAGCCACAAACATACCAGGGGGCCCTGAGTGGTTAGTTTCACGCCCACTGGACCAACACTGGGGCCTTCTAGAATCTGGCTCTTCCCTGGGGCCCCTGACTCCAAGCAAAGTCCCTGGGTCCCTCCTTGTTGCCTCTGAATCTCTGAGTGCCCTCCCCACTTCCTCTCTTTCACAGCCCATCTGTGAGCACATGGAAGAGTTTCCTGTCTGTTCCCAGACATCCAACCTGGTCTGTGGCACCGATGGTGTTACGTATAACAATGAATGTCAGATCTGTTTGATCCGGCTGTAAGTCCACCCCACTCCTTCCCCTCAGCTTGCTTGGGTGGGCCCCACTTCCAGTACATTCAAGTGTGAAAGGAGCAAGACTTGACCTGCCCCTTCCTTCACACACCTTGGACTGAGAAGAGTCCTCCGACATTGGCCCGAACAGAATGAGCACAAGTATATTTCAAAGAAAGCACATGGTTCTAAGTACAAAGCCACAACTAGTAGGGGGTTGGGGAGGGTGCAGAAACCCTGGGTTCTTTCCCTCGTTCTGCGCTTGACCGACTAGGTGACTTCATTTGTTCATTTATTCCTCCAGCCAACAATTATTTATTGAACATCTACTATATGCTAGGCACTGGGCATACAACAGGGCATAAGCTAGACAGCAACCCTGGCCTTCTGGGGGCATATGGTTTAAGGAGAAAGCCAAGCTAATGGTCCACCAACTGTGTAGCATAGAATGCTCAAGGCTCAGATGGGGGCACCCAGGGTTCTGTGAGTGCAGGGCAAGGACAAGGGCAGGGAAGACTTTCCAGCTCAGCTCTGAAAGATAAGTTGAAATTAGCTTGGAAAAAAAAAGGAAGAAGGAAAGGTAATTCCAAGTAGTGAAATGAGTTTGGAAAGGTCTAAAAGGGAAAGAAATGTTTGTATTTGAGAAAATATAAGAAATTGGATATGCTGGAGTATAAAGTTTAAAGACTGAGTGGGGAGAGGCAAGAAATGAGTCTTGAGAGGTGAGAAGGGCCAGAACGTGACTTTGGTATGTCTGATCACCTATTCGATCTCCTTTCTTCATTAATAAAACCCTTGGGCTGGGCCAGAACTAGGTGAGATCATGGAAGAGAAGACAGTCTTCAGAAGCTACAGCACTCTGGACAGAGAGGCAGGAAAGCGACAGGACACTTTCCTAACTTAGCTGGGAGGCAGTGAGGGTCTAGGTGGTTTGTGGGGCAATGATGTCTGGGGGAGGTGTGGCTAGAGTTCAAGACAGAGTCAGGGCTGGAGACAGATTCAGTAGCCATCAGACAACATCAGACATCCCGGGAAGCTCAGATCTCCCAGGGGAGGGTGTGCAAGAGGGAAAAGCTATGGAAGGTGTGCCCAGGGACCCCCAGGACGTGCCCTGTATCTACAATGGGTGGGGGAGGTGGGGAGAGCTCAGCAGAGTGTCTGGATAGACTGGGCCAAGCAGGGTCCCTGAAGGGTTTGTTCCAGTCCCTGATGAGATGGGCCTCATCTTTGTCTCCTGTGATCCTAGGAAAACCAAAGAGGACATCCAGATCCTGAAGGATGGCAAATGCTGACCCCCATAGCAGCCTCTTAAGTCATGAAGCTTCAGGCTAGAGAACAGTTTTGGGAGTGGAGGATGTGACATGAATAAAAGCTCTAGCCCAACTCAGCCAAGTGAGCCAGTGTCTTTGGGGACTCTGGTGAGGTGGTTGGTGGTGGGTGGATGTGGTGGGGATTTTGCCCTGACCTCCCTATTTTGAATCTGATGTCTTCTCCATCGCTCCAGTGCTCCTCAACCCTGTCACATGCTCCCCTAGAGGTCCCAGGTCTCTTCTGCTTCTTGAAGAGGTCAGCCCCTGTCCCCAGCACACTTGTCTGCCCCAGCCTGTTTGTCAAGAACCTAGGTGACCTCTGTACCTTCTGCCATTGTCAGAGAGCAGGACCAGCCTTTGGGAGAGTCCTACACCCCTCATGGCCTTCTCCTTGGGTTGTACCAGCACCCCAAGTCTTATACACACACACACACATGCTGATACTACTGTAGCTAATATTTAGGTAGTGTACACAGTGTATCTGAACTACTTGTTAAAATACTGACCTAGGTCTGTAACAGTTAAAAACAGCTGCCCCAAGCCTTTGAGTGTCCCCCTGCACCTTGGCCACCCACAGCAGGATGACCTCCAGACCCTGCTCTGTTCTTTTGGTCACCATCCATTCTGACTGTTAATGCTGGCATTGGCCACAAACCCAGGCATACAAAGCACACATGTGCCTATACAATGGCCCACAAAAACACACAGCATCCAGAAATCCCACCATAGAGGCCCTAGCCTACGGTCCATGTCAAATAACCCTCTTTTGGCCAAAGCAAATAGAAGGAGCCACTTGATAATGGTGGCAGAGGAAAAGAGTGTGGAGAGGGGCCTGGCCAGCAGAAGCAAAGCCACATGGACTCAGATTCCCACTTCAGGGTGGGCAGACAGAGCAGGAAATGTACTGTGGGAAAACACACTGGGAAGAAAGATGGGGCGGGGAAGGCAGGAACCAGCATTCCCCAGACAACTGAACCGTGGATGTGGGCAGACACTGTTGCTGATAGATCTGCAGGTGGAAGGTCATCTATGGGCTCTGCTACTTACTGCTACTGGTAACAGAAACTTTTACTCCTCTCCTGCATGGGAATGATGCAGTATTAAGTTTGGCGGTGAGAAACCCAAATGCCAAAATAACAGTGGCTGAAACAGTTATTTCTCCCACACAGAGACCTATGCAGCATGCTAACTTCATGCTCTTTATACATTGTCACCCTGCTGTCATCAGTTTCCCCTTCAATGTACAAGACAGCTGCTCTAACTCCAGCCATCATGTCTACATTCCAGTCCACAGAGAGGTAAAGAAGGGCACTCGACTGCCTCTGAAGATGCTTCCCGTAAGATGTACATACTCTGTTTACATCCCATTGCCTAAAATGTAGTCTCTTGGCCACGCTAGCACAAGGAGACTGGGAAAATGGTTATCTGGTTGGCCATGTGCTAAGCTGAAAATTAGTTCACTTATAGGAGGAAAGTGAATATTGGTGATCTCTAAGCCTCTGTCCTAAGTGGGAAGCCCCTCTTACACATAGGTGGCACAGCTCCAGCCAAGCTTCCTGTCAGTGACACTCCCCTCCCAGGCTTCCACCCATGATGAGGAATCCCAAAGATTACACCTGAACAATGTGCCAGGCGCCAGGCACCACTGGAAGAAATACTTACTTCCCCACGTTACAGATGTGGAAACTTGGCCCTGTCTCTGGAAGCATAACTGTGGGCCCCTAAAGGCCCTATCTATAGCACATGACCCTGCTGCCCTGGCCATTACTGATCGGCCAAAAAATTCTCCCCCAGGACTTTTTGAATAGCAAATAAGGAAACAGGCAGTTCCTCTCTGGTAGTGAAGCTGCAAGATGTGTGAAGTGGGGGCTGACAGCCATGTTTCCTACTTTGTGGAAGCAGGATTGAGAGAATGATGCTGGCATACAAAGAAAGAGATGCAGAGAGCGATTCAAGGCTGTGTTTGAATTCCTGAAGCCCAGCTGCCCTCGAACATCCCAAGGCTACATGGGATAACTTGACATCCTGCCAATAAATTTTCTTTCTTTCTTTCCTTTTTTTAAAAAAAGATTTATTTATTTTAGAGAGAGTGTGCAAGCGGGGGGAGGGGCAGAAGGAGAGAGAATCTCAAGCAGACTCCCTGATGAGTACGGAGTCTCATGCGGAGCTCAATCTCACGACCCTGAGATCATGACCTGAGCCAAAACCAAGAGTTGGATGCTTCACCGACTGAGCCACCCAGGCACCCCAGTAAATTTTCTATTTCAACAATCTCTTTGGAATTCAGTTTCTGGTGATTTCAGTTAAAAGAGTCCTGACTACCAAAGGAAGAAGGGCATCTCAGAGAAGATAACCTTAATGCTGAGTCTTAAAGGGTAAGTAGAAATCGTTGACTAAACAATGTGTGGGAGAATTCTTCCAGCCCTGTGAGGGTGAAGGATGTTTACAGGATCACAGAGCCCCATTGGCTCCCCTTATAGTAGGACTGGCCATGTCTCAGGAAAGTGGGCAGCGAGGAGTGTTCTCTCCCCATTCACAGGCAGGGACACCCTATGGATGTGCAGATCTGGGGGGCAGGGGGGCGTTGTGCACACATGCCCAGTTGCCCATGCTGTAGGGCCTCTCTTCTCCACCCTCAAATCAAACAATGGTTGTTGATGCTGTAAATTCCAGTGCTGACGGAGTGCAGCTGTGGGAATTTCATTGTAGATGTGTGCGATCGACATTCATTCATTCTCCAAATATTTATTTATTTATTTATTTATTTTAAAGATTTTATTTATTTGACAGAGAGAGACACAGCGAGAGAGGGAACACAAGCAGGGGGAGTGGGAGAGAGAGAAGCAGGCTCCCCACCAAGCAGGGAGCCCAATGCGGGGCTCGATCCCAGGACCCCGGGATCACGACCTGAGCTGAAGGCAGACGCTCAACGGACTGAGCCTCCCAGGCGCCCCTCTCCAAATATTTACTGAGCACCTATTATAAATAGACAATGTGCTTGAAATATGCTGTTACAAGACAAAGAAGCCCCTTAACCCAAGAAATTTAGAGTCTAGGGTTAGAGGTAAATATTAATCAAATAATCCCACAAATAACTCATGGTTTATCATGCTATTTATCATAAAGAAAAGTTATGGCAAATTGTGAAAGGATATCACCTGGGGGGTTTGATATGTTCTCTGACAGTAGATAAGGTTTCTCCATGAAGAGACATTTGAGTTAAGTTCAAGGGATGAACAGGAGTTACTACCTAGGAAAGGGGTGGGGGAGAGATGATGAAGAGCTGTCCAAACAGACGAACAGCATATGCAGAGACCCGAAGGCAGGAGAAGGCACAGAGCATCTAGAATCCCAGCGTGCAGAACAGCACACAGCAAACAGGCCAGTGGCCGGGGATGAAAGGGAGAGCACTGAAGGAAAGGACTCTGGCCTTTATGCACAGGGGACTGACATGCTAAGACCTGCACTTTATGACCACCCCACCTGTTCTGTAGAGAAACTGCTCTGCAGAAGGCCAGACGGGAAGTGGAGACCAACAAGGAGGAGGGAGACGGATGAGAGTGAGCGAGCCCATGCTGTGGGGGGAGGCAGTAAGTGAAGAGCGTGGGCTCTGAATCAAACCACCTAGCTTTGTATCCTGGCTTTGCCACTTAGGACCTTGAGAAATTACCTGAGCTCTCTGCTTCCTCACCTCTAACATGGGGACAGTATCTGTCTGCCTCCTAGAATGTCTGAGGATTAAATGACTAATATACCTGAAGAACTCAGAACAGTACCCGCACACAGGGACTTCTCATTATGTGTTTTGGCCCAACACCACACAGCTACCATACAAAAACGATCATATAAATACTGAACTGCTGATTCAAGTGGGAAGTGGGCCAGACTAGGCTGAGCCTCATCCACGTGTCCACCCCTGTCCTAGGTCACACCCGCACAGGCCTAAGTTCCTGGGGCTTCAGTGACTCCCTCTCTGCCAAATAAGGTCGGCCTCAGAGTGGCCTATTGGATGCCTGTCTCCTGGGCACTGTGTGAAAAAAATGGGGTGATAGCAGTTGACCCGGTTACGAGCTCTAGCATACAGGGCCACTCTTGACTTTATTCAACACAAATTACAGCTAGAACCACAGAAGGCTTTTGCTTCTCATATTTCATCAAAAAAAGTTCAAACATTCTTTTGCTTGCGGACATGTACATAAACTGCTTTTTAAAAAAAATAACAGTGGAGGGGGCCACAAAACAAATAGGAACAGCCTTGAAGGAAACACTGACCTCAGAAGGGTACAATGAACAGAAATGCCTTTGAGGAACGCCTTAGAAGTTTATGGTTGCCTTCATCACCTGCCTCCCTGTGGTTCCTCTCTCTGTACCCCCAAGCCATACTTGTGACCTGGTTTCAAGCAGAGATTCAGTCATCACTAGGTTCTAACCTTCTAAAGATTTACTTAAGGACAAGGAAGTCCACGCATCAATACGAGCCCCACCCCAGGAATGGGCCTCTGAGATCTCATGGCCTGTGGCTGGGCAGGGTCACTGGGAGATGAGGTCAGGGTCTGTAAACCAATCACCCAGCCACCTGTTCCAGAATTCGGT